CTTTTCATCCTTTTATACTGTAAGGCAATATAGAATGAATTTATGAATAATTATTCTTAGATAACCAAAACTCGCCACGCAAACTAGATAATTAAATTCCGGCACTGCTTTTAATGTTAAATTATATTTGGGAAGTGAATCTTTATTCCAAGAATTTTTCTTTGTTATTTGTATACAAGTAAGCGAAGTGATTAGGAGAATTCAATGAGCATACTTTATACACTTTACTATTGGAAACATTACTTTGTAAAAACTAAAATAAATATATGCTGTATGGGAGATGAAATTTGGCGGGAAATATCTAGAACTGAGGGCTGCATGAAGGACTAAAAGGAGAGGATTTTGCCCTAATTAGAAGTTTGGTTTCTTTTATGGGAAGATTGGATGAGACATCTCGTAGTCTATTTTGATTCAAACTTAACCCAAAGTTAAATAGGTTTAACTTGATCTATAAAATTGGGAGACTGATTTTGATAATCTAGTACTTCACTTTGTGTTATTCTTTATGAGAGATAACAATTCATTTCAACCTGACAGAATCAATTACGATAACAAAAATATTTATTATCATATAAAATTTATCACTAAATATTAAAAATTAATTATAATAAATCCATAATGATTTCCAATAAAAATAAAAAAGAATTCTAATTACAATTCGGAGGACTTTCATAGCATTCAACAAACTGTTTGATAAAACAAATGACCCGAATTTTAATGCATGCTTGTGGAAGTAAACTTTGAACAATATAATTTGATGTGAAAATACAATACAGCTATGGACCATAAAAAAACTACAATATTTCGCGGCACGTATTTGGGCAAATTTTTGTAATTTGCTACGTGTGTCACTTTGTCCTAAGTGCGAGAAAAGACATGTCTAGACTGAAAGTAATGAGTAACCAAAAAAAAAAATGAAATGTAAAAAACTGAAAATGATGAGAAAACACTGGGTTTAGAGCCCATGCTTCAAACTGTAATAAAAATAAAAATCATTATAATTATAAGTATATAAAAATTATTTTATAGGACCATATTAGACAAAGTAGTTTGAAATCTCGATCATTGATCTAGTCCAACGCGAAGATATAGTTTGGTGTTATTGGTCTTTCTAACCATTTAAGTCCATTTTTTTTCAGGACCCAACTAAATTGGGTTTGTTTGTGTTAGACTAAGTTGGATAGGGTTGGAAAACTTTTGTGTAGCTCTGCTAAAACTCCAAGCATTTTTTACCAGCAGGTAAAGAAAAAATTTTTTATATGATAACCGTCTTTTTTATAGATGTCTATATGCGCATCTTAAGACCAGTTAATGAAGAAATAGAAAGCATATAGTGCACCTACAAGGATTTTAATGTTCTAATGGATATAGGACGAATGTTTAAACTGATTTGACTTTCATGGTTTATAATCGTTAATTTAATTGAGAGGGTTGCAGAGTTGAAGTGGTCGAATTTGTCGTCCCTCTCCAGTACTGTTCAATAAGTGAGCAAGAGCAGGTGCAAATTTAATAATTGAATATATATCAGCATAGAGTGCTATAACATTTTTTATTAATAATTCTTTATAAGTAAGCCATTATTTAATTTTATTGATATTGAAAATTGTTTTCTGCCAGCAATATTGGATATTGTTTTAAGAAAGAGCTAGTTGATAAAAAATATAATACATCATTACTTATGATGCATTCCTAGCTACAAAATTAATCTTACCTCTTTGTATAAACTTTTGTTTTATTTAATCTAAAATATGTGAAACCTCTTTAAGCCTTATGTCAATTGCACATGACCTCTCCAATTAACATTTCAAAGTTTTAAATTTATCCTCTTGAATTTTAACATTACTCTTTAAAACGAACCCCTCCATTACTTTTTCTATTATTTTCATAAGATAAATTTTCATGTCAAATTATTTAAGGGTTAAATGTTATTTTTGCCCATTAAGCATTCGCAGAAAAGTATTTAGTATATTGAACTTAATTGTTTTAATTTACAAAGTACAGGTACACATTCACCTACAAATATAATATTTTTTTTCAATTTCTTGCCAATATAGTTGCTAACGATAATAGTGATTCAATAATCAATTAGTAGCCGGTCAAAGTGATTCAAGGTCAACTATAATTCAAAGTTAAATCTAGATCAAAACCATCCTTCATTCCTACTTAAATTGAGATCACGTCCTCCCACATCATCAAATGATCCTCTCACCTTCAGCAAAATCAATGGGACTGTATCCAAACTCCCTATGTCGAAATCTGTCTTTTCTCCTAAAGCCATTGCATAATGTATATTTTCCCACTGGGTATGGAAGAGCATGGGGACTAATAATTTTGTGTTGATAGATTATATGATTCTTTTGGCCAATATATATATATATATATTAACCAAGATTAAAATAATTGAAAAAAGATAAATAATTCATAACGATCAATTATATATCCTCCTGGACAGAAATTTATCTGCGAAAACTGCATTCAAGGTCAAGGATCAATTAAATAATATAACATTTAAGATTATGCAAAGTTAAAAATAGAGTCTAATTTTAAATTTTGATATGATGGAATATTATATGCAGTTAATCTAAAATTTACGGGTCTTATATTTTAGCCTTTTGATTATAAAATAGGGTGATTCTCTTGACTTTAACTTTTTACCCGCATCATATTGGCGTACAAGTAGCAATTTATTTTTAGGTAAAATATTTCTTAATTGTAGTCAAGAAATGTTAGATAAAGAAGACTTTATAAGTAAACTATTTTAGACAGCTGCGTTTAGATGTGTAAATGGGCTATGCATTATTTTAGCCAAGAAATGTTTGTTAAGACTGACTTGATAGGTTTGCAATATTAGTCATTAACTTATTGTCAAACTTACTACGTACGTACGTGAAGGATGTCTTGATAGTGAATGGGCCCCAATATTTTAGTAAAGAAATTTTTGTTAGAAGCTAGAATTTGACATTGAAAGCCAGGCCTTTACAAGGATTCCTCCCAAAGAAAAAGGCTCGATAAGATATATGTGTGTCTTCTATTATTTTTTGTCGGTCAACATGTGTTATTTTTTTAACCTAATTAATTTATGTACATTTACCACATACCAGCTGGTACTTTACCCACCCATTGACTTTATAATATTAGAGCTATCTAAACAAGTTGAGTTAAATAAGCCAATCAAATATGGATCAATGGGAGTTAAATTTGCTAATTTATTTAACTCACTTTAATTCAGTGAGTTGAGAATTGAAACACAGCTCATTAGGAAAGTTAAACGAACCTCCAAAATAATTAAAACACAGAATATTTATATATATCTCCTTCGACATTTAACTTTCTAATTTCAACTACCAAATAAAAATGAAAATGAAAATATTAGGTCGATTGCCTTATGCTTCAACACCATTAAAATTGTTTTCTCGTTGCGATGTTACCATTTAAGCCAATTATGCGTTTTGAAATATTAATTCACAGCAAAAAGATGCAAGGTCAGGAAATATGCAGTGGAGCTTATTACTTGAAGCAAATCAAGAACGTTAATTGTGCAAAAATTAAATGACCAAGCAAAACAAAAGGCACACAACACGTAAAATTTTGGTCAAGAGAGGGATGACGGATGGAAAATATTAGGTTTTATTTTTTTCAATATTTTGATTACAATTACTTAACATTTTTATTGTTTAACATCACCAAAAAATGGGGCAGTTTCATGCTTTCTCTTCTCTTAACATTGTTATTGCTTAACAAGGTTATTGCCAATGATCGAGAAATTCTTAGGTGCATCCAACGCACCACATCGTGCTGTGAGGAGATGCTGTTTTTTTTTTTTCCCTGGTAAAAAATATTATAAATTAAGGGGGATTGCCACATGGAATTAAAATAATGTGATTTGGTGTACTTTTATTAAAGAAAATGTAAAATAACATCGTGCACTGGGTGCACCAAATAATTTCTCCTGATAATCAACTAGTAGCTGTCCAAAGTGATTGGTCAAAGTAATATTTTAGTCTCTTATATGGGTAATAAGAAATAACATTTTTTCTTGGTATTTATTTGTAATTTAGAAGACTTGATTGGTAATAATTTTTTATAGGGTACTTATTTACGATATTTAAGATCCTTTCCTATATGTTTTCGTTAACTGATTTATTTCAAAAATGTTGGAAAGAAAAAATATTTTAGTATTTACAAAAAAAATAATGACTAAATTCCATTTTTAATACATCAGAAGTACTCAAACCATTTATCTATATCCATATCCCCCGCCATCCCACCCCTTTCTTACGATATGAGGTAACCTTACATATGTCTATTAATTATTAAATACTAATAAATAAATTCTCCAACAATTTATAATAAACATAATTAAGAAAAATCAAAGACAAGGAAAAATTAAGGGATTGAATTGGAACAAAATGAAACTAAATGATAAAAATGAATTTTAAAAGTAGAATAAAAAAAGTATCAAATCAAGAGAAAATAAATTAAAACTTATGTAGCAACATGAGGTTGGATATGTAAATACACTCAAGCATTTAAAAAAAAAAGCCTCACGGAAAAATGTTAAGTGACGATCTTACAAATTAAATAAAAATAAAAAGTAAATTAAAACTAAATAAAGTCGTGTAATAGATATAAAACTTAAGATATTGATGATAGATCAAAGCCGTACTGAGCCTTTATTTTTATATTGCATGGTTTATCACTAGTATTGGCAGTAACTAAAAATTCGTCATCACTATAGGCTAAGTTTCAACTATTAACTCTACATCAATCAGCATTTAACTTCTATCAGGCGGCAAAATATGGACCCCGCCAACTCTGTAATGCCTCCTCTTGCCGGATAAACAAGACAAAAAAAAAAAAAAGGAAAAAACAAGAAGAAGAAAGTAAAAGGCTGTATATGTAATTAGTTTGATCTTCAGAATTTGAAGTCAGACTTAGGGGCACCTATTCCTCCAATACACCATCATTGACCTCAAGCTGCATCTCTCCATTAACTTCGAACGAGCCTAGAAAAGGTTTCTTCGTTCCAAATAGGTAATAATAATGATACTGTCTTAGTAATTCCTGATTTCTCAATTTGTTATCTTCTATATATACTTCTCATTTAGTTCGCTTTACCCAGGCGCACCTACAGAAGTACTGATGTAAGAAAAATGAGTACCAATAGCAGCAGTTATAGGGCAGAGCGACTAGACAATCCTGAGGAAAGCCTGTTCATTGCCCTCATGAAAGAAGAGTGGGACAAGGTCGTGGAAATTTTTGAGCAACATACAGTGATGTTTCAGGATAAAAAGATGGGCAATATGATGAAAGCGACAAATGAGAGACCCAATTTGCGCTATGATGAGTCATGGTCCGACACTGCGTTGCACTGGGCTATCACTAATGGGGCGCCAGAAGATAAAGTTGAGAGACTGGTTAGTAAAATAGAGAAGACTGGTAAGGCTTTGGAGACTCTGAAAGTTAAGAATAGTCGAGGAGATACCCCTTTGCACTGTGCAGCCTCACGTGGCTCTCGAGCAATTTGCAGTCGAATTACACGTGTCGACAAGTCATTGGTTCGTGAGCGTAACAACGAGGGAGAGACACCCCTCTTCTCGGCTGCTCTTAAAGGTCGCCAACTAATTCACGAATATCTGCATTCAATTTGCCATGAGGTGGATCCGTCGTTACCCTCTGAATTGTGGACAAGAAGCAACGGAGATACTATACTTCACTGCACGATTCGGAGAAAAGAATTTGGTCCGTACATTTAATTTTGTGTTTTACGATTTTTCATATATATATATATATATATAGCAAGAGTATATTAGTCGTAAGTTAATGATGATGCAACTCATCATCCATCGGATGATATATGATGTGAAAAAAAGTAGCATCGGTTTAATTTGAGGGAAAAATTAATCTACAAGTTCTTCTAATTTTTTACATGATTGAGTTAGGTCTTATAATTTATTTTATTTTAATCAAGGACTTACAATTGGATTGATATATGTTAGTCCCAGAATGTTAAAAGTATTAATAAATGATTGATTTTTTTTTTCAAAATAAAAAACTTCTAAAATTTATAGAAAATTTGGTTTGATACTTTTAACTCTAAATTTTTTTTCTACAATATTTATATTTTATTATTTTCTTATGAAAAATCTATTTGCGTAAAAGTTATTTAGAAAACATAACGTAATTATATAAATTTTGAGTTAAAACAATTATGTAATTAATTCTAAAATTGTCTAATCTTTTAGTAAACATATAAAAGTCCTTAATTTCATTTTTTAAAAGAATCATCAAAGGATTTTAACAACTAAGGACCAACATATTTAATCAATTGAGCTATAAAGACTTGATTAAAATAAAATAAATGATAAGAACCTATTTCAAAATTGAGTAAAATTGTAAGAACATGTAGATTAATTTTCCCTAATTTGAATAAATAAGACCTATTTTTTCATTTAAAAACTTTTGTGTATTTGAATGATCAAAATATTGATTTCCTTTACAAATGTTGACACCGATAGCATGGAAAAGAACAGAACTAACAAATTATGCACGTGGAATTGAATGTTTGCTAGATTTGTCATACCGAATAGTTGAGCTTTACAAAGACCAACAGATCGGTCGCTTTTTCAATACAGACGGACATTTACCTCTGAACGAGCTTGTCATGATTCCTTCTGCTTTTCAGAAAGGTATTCTTCTCATCAGATGGTGGCAAAAGCTGCTCCACTTCATCAGTAAGTATAATCCTTTGACCAGCTTTTTTTTTTTTTTGAAGTTTAGAATTTAATAATATATATGTACCAAGTAGGCACATTTAATTTTATATACATTACATGACATTAAAAAAAAAAGCCATAGCAATGTGAATGGTTTATGGATATAACATTGGCCTGGCTGTTATGGATTTTATATTGTGCATATTGATATTAGTACGTTTAGGCATGACGTTGACGTATCTTTTAATTTATTTATTTTCTTTATATCTTAAACAAGTCACTGCATTTGTTTCATCTGATCTTTACGGTACTGATCCTAATTACCTAATATAAAATTTTATTTTTAAATATTGGAGGGTTTTTGAATTGTTTTTCATCAATTCATTTTAATGCCTCATTTGGTATGCTAGAATTGAGACTAGAGAAGTGGAAATGCAAGTAGAATCTTAAAAATGAGTTGTCTAGTATGTTCGAACTCATCAAATTTGATGAAATTAAGTTTCTCGCCCTACATGATGGAACTGTCATGAGTTCCATGGAAGTGGAATTTTCTTACTATTATACGCTCACATAATTTATCAATGGCCAATTTTGCCACTCTAATTATTAGCATTCATAATGCTCAACTAAACCTAAATCTCCAAATTAAATTCTAAAAATAAAAACTTGAATGTTACATATACATGCATGCATGTCTCTTAGCTATCGATGGATTGATCCATACTAAGTCCATTGCAAAGACCTAAATCCATCACAAATTTGTCACAAATCAGGATCTTTTTGGTTTTTGTGAGTTTGTCAAAATTGTGGTTTGGGTAGAATTAATTGGCAAGCATGGTTTTAGGTAAAATAAAGGTTATTAAAACTGAGGTTAGGTCAAAACTGATGACGATAGTCAAAAGCATCTACACTTTGCTTCTTAATTGATGATAATTTTAGGCTTAAAAGAGGTTTGGAAAAAATATGCTAATTGGTTTCATAATTTCTAACTGTAGTTTTAGAAATTGGAATCTTTGGTGATCTCTCTTAATAAAACGTGTTTTGAGGTATAAAATCATGGTTTTCAAACTCGAAGATGTGAAACCAAACAGTCACTCCATCCCAAATGTCATTGCAAATCTGTCCCAAAATTATTATTAATTTTTTTTGGCAGTAGTGTTACACTCTTATTCTTTTTGCACTTTCTTTCTTGTTTTCCTTTGCCAGTTTTAACCTGTTCTTTATGCCTTTATTGTTTTTTGTGCCTATAATTTGATAAGGTTACCGTGGGAAACTTCGAGAGAATCATATTTTTGTTGCTCGTCTCATGGACGAACTTGTAAAACAAGATCCTTGGTATCTGGAAAACAAAAATGCAAAGGACATCACTGATATTGTGAACATGAGGCTTTATCCGTTCATGGATAGTATCATTCAAGGAGGTAATCCCACTGTAAAAAAGAAAAGGACTTCTATAATTTTGTAGAAAAGAGTAATATAACCTCTGATAGGTTATAATTTTTACATGGCAGGCAGAGTCAAAAAATCAACGGCACTGTTAATAGCCGCTCAAAATGGTCTGACTGAGCAGGTGAAGAAAATCCTACATGATATTCCTGTGTCTATCCATGACCAATTACTTTAGGAAAGGAAGAATATAGTACATGTGGCCATTGAGGAAAGGCAAAGTAATGTGTTAGAGGAAGTAAAGAAACACCAACGTTGGAAAAAATTGATAGAAAAGGTGGATGCTCATGGTAATAATGCATTGCATTTGGCAGCAAAGCAGTCAAAATATATAGCAAGTGGAATACGTGGATCTGTTATGCAAATGCAATGGGAAGTTATGTGGTTTGAGGTATTTAACATCTCGTTCTTATTCATCATGCGCTACAAGTCTAGGTCTTCCAAGCCTAAATCAACTCATGCATGTTATAAAGGAGGAAAATTTAATGTGTATTAAACTATATAATATAATTACTGAATGCAATCAATTCTTAGGCATGAAGAGGAGGATTTACCTTTGAAAATACAAAAGGATTTTGCGAGATATTTTCCCAAATACCAACGTGGATAATGTCGACATTTGTATTCTTTCACTGCTGCTCGTTCACTTTGTTAATTATTCTCGTTCAAATTTTTCAAGATTCAAATTAGAAACTTTTTAAAATATTTACAATGTATAAAACATGTAGGACAAATAAAAAATTTTAAGACCTTACATGTAACACACACCCCCCATCAAATCAATTAATATTCCTTAATTTTTTTTTCTGATTTCTATATGTTACATAAATACTTTCGTCAGCATTACTTGGAACATTAAGTATAATTGTGCATTGCTTATGAAATTTATTGTCTTATGTCGAAGCAGTATGTGAAAAACAGCATGCCATCTTATGACTTCATGTCCCAACGCAATGAAATGAATGAGACTCCGTGGGACATCTTCACCAAGGAGCACACGGAACTTATGAAGGAATGTAATGAATCAGTAAAGGACACGTGTGGATCTTACATTGTTGCAGCTACTCTGGTTACTGGTTCTGCCTTTTCTGCATGTTTCCAGCAGGACATTGATAGATTTGGTCAAAAATTTTCTATCTCCTTGCTACTTTCATTTCTCTTCTCTATCGCTTCATTGACTACTTTTCTAGCCATTTATATCTCTAGAAAGGAACCCCCCAAAGGTTTTCGTCGAAGTTTGCCGTTGAAACTTTGTATGGACATCATTTCATTCCTCGCATCACTTGTCTCAATGTTGATTGCTTTCTATGCTGCACTATCCTATGACTTTCGACCTCAAGAGGAGTATAAGCCTATCATATCCTATGGGGTCATTTTATTACCAGTAGCATTGCTATACACATTTGCCCAGCTTCCATTATATTGGCATCTTTTCAAAGTCTCAATTATTACAAAGGTGCCGAACCCAAGAATTGTGGAAGAAGAAAGCATATCACGTTTTTTCCCCGACTTGAGAACAGAACAAGAAGATCATAACCTGCCCAATGTAAGAGATGATGAAAGACCAGATAGAAGTTCATAAGTCTTCTCGGAGAACCACAATAAGAGCGCTCTATTTACCGTTATTGTAAGAACTATGTTTTCTATATTTTAGTATTGTTCATTGTTAACAAAATAAAACGGATTTCATGAAGAAGGATAAATATAAGCTTTCAAGTTTGAACTTCTCAAGTGCAGTTTAGTTTTTCTTCCCACATGTGTAGAAGAAGTATTATGAGTGTGTACTCTTTTTACTTGTTAACTAGCCTTGCAAGTGCATGAGATCAAAATAATAAAAATATCTAGAGTATTATAGGTGTCAACCCCAGAGGAAGGAAATGGTCTTCGTTTTTCAAAAGGAATTAAATTGATTTTAAATCAACTAATTAAACTAAACTAATTAAAAGTAGTTAAATGAGAACAAAAAGCAGCCAAAATGATTAAAGATTTCCAATCAATGAACCTAGGAATGAAGATTCAACTACGGGGATGCCCTACTCTATTTAGTTTCTTCTTATTGTTCAACTATAGCAACAATTGTCAGGAAAGTACCCTAATTGACTAAATTCATTACACGAATTTCACATTCAAAAGGCTTTCAAGTCATTGAAAGAAAATTCTACACTTTTAATACGTTTGACTATCGAGATAATGGAAGAGACTGAGAGCTTACATGATGAGAAGGGACAACTCACACCATATATCTTGCAGTCATTACAAATTGATCTTGAGCCTCTACCCAAGATGCTTAAAAAGAAGAGTATAATGAGTAGATTTACACTACTCCTGAAAGATGAAAATTTTAATTTCAAGACCTTGTGGAGATTTAAATTAGGCTGTATTTTCTTCACCCTTGCTCTTTACTTTACTTTACCTATTGTTTTGATTTATTGATTGAGTAAAGTGCAAATGTGGGGGAGATGTCTCCATTAGTGACTAAGGGTGTCACTACCCTAGCAAAATATTACTAAGCCACACTAATGTAGTGCTAGTGTGAACTTAGGTCGACTTCTATGAGGAGGTTTTGTTGAAAATTTAGGTTTGAAGTGTGTTACAAGTTAGAAAGTATGTGAGATAGATTTAAGCTTAAAACTAATTAAGCTATTAAACCTAATTTTAAAGTGAATTAAGTGGATGTGTGAAAACCTATTAAATAGGAACTCCTATATGGATTTGGTTACCTATTCTTGTCTGATTAAGGCCTAGTTAGTATGGTCTCCTCTCTTGTCTCTTTTGTTTTAATAAATTAGTTATATTAACCAAGACTTAGCTAATCTCTTGACTAATCCTAATCAATAATTATGGTCTTAGAATGTGCCAAAACAAAGCGAGCATTAAGCCTAACCAAAGTGCTACTCACTTGAATCAATTATGTCAAGTACATTTAATGGAACTGACATGCTCAAGATTATGATACATGGAGATATACACATGCATTCAAGTTGGAAAAATTATGAAAAGTAAGAAAACATGTTAATCTCATTAAGTAAGCCAAGATTATGAACAAGCTATGAAGAGGCCAAAAATTCATGCGCTAAACATAACCAAATTCAAGTTGCAACAAGCTCCTTTCAATCAAATGAATCATCACTTAAAATTACAAGTTTAAAGAGTCATACAAATTTGTAATTCTAGAAAGAGAAAATAGAAAGATAAATTCAAACTAGTTACAAAATAATACAAACTCAAGGTTTCCTCCTCCTCATAATAGCTCCTTCAAGAATCAAGCCTTGCATCTTCAAGCAATCTCCAAGTTGAACCTTTAAAATTCTGGCTCTTTTTACTATGAATTTTACCCAAAGCTAATAAGGTTTGATCTTTATGAAAGCTATTAGGTTTTGTAGAGGAGGAAGAAAGGAAGAGAATGGTGGTGGTTTGGTTAAATTTGGATGGTTCGATTGAGAGATATGGAGGATAGAGTGTGGAAATGTAGAGAGAGAATTGAGAGAAAATGAAGAATATGAAGAAGAAAATCTGAAATTGTGCTTGCCTGATCTGAAAATCTGATCCTAGCCTCATTCAAATCTGTTTGGATGAAATTGGGGGTGAATGACTTGCTAAACAAGTTGCCACAACACACATTACAAGTCATTATTAGGTTAAATGAGGTTAAGGGTAGTCTAGGTTGCAAGTCAACTGGTGATAATTCCAATGCTTGCTTTTCTAATCCCATATGTGCATGGATACAATAAGCTCTTATGCTCCCTTAATTGCCTTGGAATTCACTCCAAATGAAGCTCAAATTCAGATTTGAAATTTGCCTCCAAGCTTGTCAAACACATTACAATTAACTTGAGCTTTGACAAATCAACTTGATCTCTTGTGTGCAAGCGCATGAAAACTTTATATGTGCCTTATTTTCCCCTGATAATCACGCCCAAATGGACTCATTTCAGGTCTGAATCATGTCTATAATGCTTCTTGGGAGCTCTCTTCAATTGCCTTGAGTTATGTCTTCATTTGTCATGCTAATTCACCTAAGACACAATTAAATCAACTAATCAAATAACCATAGTATGACATTTATTTAATTAGACTAAGATATGAAATATTTAATTCATCCAAAGCATTAAAAATGACTAAGGAAAAATGAATATGAAAGCCTCACAAAACTCAAGTGTAGACAAGCATACACTTTAACTAAAATCAAAAGCTAATTAGAAACCCTTAAGGAGACAACATTAAAATATTGTCTTTTCATAATAAATATCAACCTAGGTTGAATCAATAAAAACTAATTAGACTAATCATCTTAGCTCATCAAAAGACATAAATTTCAAGCTTAATCCTAATTTGGTGAAAAAGTATATTTTATGATCAAATTACCCTTAATGCATGTATTTGACCACTTAGGCAAAATTATACTAAAAATGTGATATCAATGCATATGGAGACTCTTAACATATAGAAATGGTCCTAAAACTAATGCATACATAAAATTCCCAATTTGTCCTTGAATTCTCAAAAAAGTATAAAATGATCAAAATACCCCTAACATGCACACTTTCTGATTAAGATTGAAAACACTAATTTAACACTAAGAATGAATATTTTAGGGTTTCCTACCATGAAATGTGGTCCTAAATGCCTAATAAAAGTGTGTAACAAATTTTACATATCAATTAGAAAAAGGTAGATTTTGTTATTTCATTTTGGTTTGTTTAGAAATTTTGAAAAAGAAAAAAATTTCTACACTTAATCTTTTATTATGTATGCATACATATTTATCTTACCTTATTATATCATGAATTTATGCATACACTGAAGACAATGTATGATTTAAGTGTGTTTTTTTTATTTTTCTTTATGTTTTGAAATTTTTTTTTGAAAAATGTTAAAAAAATTATTTTGTTTTGTTTGAGGTTACTTAAATAACCTACATCTTTGAATGGATATTTTGATACTTAAGATGTGGTAGTTTTAAGGATTGAATAAGTGCAAAGTGAGCATTCTTTTACCTTGAATTAAGGGATAAGAGTAGCACATTATCATTGTTGGAAGAAGCCAAATACTCTTGTGTGTGATTAGTTTTCTTAGTGATAATATCCTCTAGAACTTGTCTTACTTCTTATTTGAGGCCAAATTTCATTACTTGCTTGAAGCAAAATGATAGGTGGCATTCATAAAAATAGCCAATAGCCAAATGATGAACCATTTAGTATTAATTATCCTTTGTTAGCCACTTTGAGCCGTTGGTTTGATTTTTTTGGAAAAAAGTTATATTCACCTTATTTCATCATAAGATGCATGTTATATTTTTATGTCTTTCTCATGTACATTGCATACCCTAGACAAAGGAAGTGGATATCTTCTATTATCATTTCTCCATCTATTATTTCACATCTTCTATTGTTATATCATTATATCCATTATTTTTCATTGTCTACACAAAGAGCTAGGGGCAACCAAAAGAGAAAAACAAAGAAAGATTGAAAAATGTGAAAAGAAAGCAACAAAGTTTCTAAAAAAAGGAAAAAGAATAAAGAAGTTGCCTAACTCATTTATATTCATTTCTTATCATTTCTTTTCATCCTCATTATGTTACGATTTCCACTCGATTGAACTTGATTATGCTTTTCAAGCATGGTTAATACTCATGGTCAAGGCATACTTCCAAGCATATATAAGAACATACAAGCAACAATCAACTTGTTCATCATATTACTATGGAAAGCTAACAACTCATCACAATATATCAAGCAATACTTAGATGTAGAGATTGTTTCACCATAGAAGCTTTCACCACTTGGACTCCCTTAAGCTCCCTTCCTTCCTTCCTCTCCTCCAAGCTACTCTTTAAGACTCAAGATCACTCTCTCTTCTCTCATTTGTATGTAATGGCTAAATGTGCGTGGGATGGGTGACTGTATGGCTATTTAAAGAGGGAAAGAGAGGGTTATAGTCTTCCTAGTCTAGCCATGTAGCCCTTGTACATGACTCTTGCTTTCCAAACTACTCTTCCCCTCTTATGACAACTTCCTAAGTCCATGCATGGCCATCTCTCCTTCTACAAGTTTTATCCTTCTCTTCCTTCATGTGTGTTGTAAAATCTCACTCCACTAAACATAATTAACCAATATAACTCATGGTAATCAAAGAATTAACTCAAAGAGTGATTACCAAGGTTTAATTCAAAAGCAAGGGATCCTAAATTTTTCATAATCACGAAGAGTTTAAAACGATCAAGATCTCTTGTATTAGAGTAAAAATAAGTTATAAAAGCATGGGATACCTTAGAGGAGTGAAAAAAATCAAAAATTAATGAAAAACAACTCTTTTAATGTGTAGCAGGGCAATGCGCCGCTGCTTGTGCAGGCTGCATCATGGTGTGTTACTCTTTATGCCACGCGTTGTGGCTCAGGCACCACGTATTAAGGTGTGTTGCATGTAAAAATCAATAATTTCTACTATTATTTGACAGCAAAATTAGGAAACTCTTAACGTATCCCAATTCTCTATCTAATGTTCGAATGACATGATCTTGGTACCTATAGAAAGCTTTTTACATAAATTAGATAATGGCATGGTTTCACTTTCAAAATA